ATCTTCATTTTTCTGTGGGCAGTTTGTCTTTTAACTTCTGTGTGTGTTCTTTATGTATGAGTAGTGGGAACCTTTTTATATGCTACATGAAACTGTCAAGCCTGCATTTGCTGTTTTAACAATCTACTCCCTTACACTGTATAGTTACATCCCAACTTGTGTACTTAACTTATTAATCTTTTTATTTGTAGTGTCTGAGATGCATGTTTTATTTTGGAAGGCCTTTCCCCATAAAATATAGCAGAAGGCTGTTTTCCTTCTGTGCCTCAGTGTTTCCTTTTACACACAGAAACATGCAGCCAGGCTACACTTAGTTAGGTCTGTTATCATTCAGACTTAGTTTTGTGGTGAGACACAGAATCTCTTCTAGAAATAGGTGCAGGGTTGTGTGAATGCCATTTTATCACATCTCAGTGCTCATGTGTTCCCAGTTTTGATTTTGCCTGCCTCATGGGTCTCTTTCCCTTTGTCTCTCACAGAAGGCTCCTATCTTCTTGTAACCCTGTCTTAGATGTTCTTAACTATTACTGCAAATCTCTTCACAGGCTTTATTTTTTAAAAAGGTATTTTATTTTTATTATTTTAAGCTATGTGGAGGTTTCTGTCTGCATGTGGGTGTGTGCATATGAGTGCTGGTGCCCACAGGGGCCAGAGGCATCAGATTCTCTGGAGCTGGAGTTCCAGATGGTTGTGAGCCACTTGATGTGGTTGCTGGGAATTGAACTCAAGTCCTCTGGAAGAGCAACAGTAACCCCTGAGCCATCTCTCCAGTCTCACATTCTTTATTTTACATATCGTGTGGTGTGTGGTGTGTGGTGTGTGGTGTGTGGTGTGTGGTGTGTGGTGTGTGGTGTGTGGTGTGTGGTGTGTGGTGTGTGGTGTGTGGTGTGTGGTGTGTGGTGTGCATGTCTTGTGTGTCTGTGCACATGTGCATAGAGGCCAGAGTTTGATGTCGTGTTTCTTCCTCAAATTTTCTCCACTTATTTTCTGATGCAGGGTCCCTCACTGAATTCAGAGTATTTGTCTAGACTAGCTGGCCAGCAAGGCTCAGGTTCAGGCTCAGGGATCCTCCTGGCTATGACTCCTGCCCAGCATGCTGGGATTCCAACATGTGCTACTGTATAGATATGTGGGTGCTTGGATTGGAATTCAGGTCCCGAGGCTTGTGTGGCAATCACTTTAAAGACAGTCATATCCCCAGCCCTACGGTTAATTGCTTTTGAGAATTTTGTTGGCTCTTAGAGCCTTGCTCTTTAAGATGAGCTCGAAAAATTTTAGGATACATCCAACAGAGCCCATTGCAATTTTAATTCTCTTTGTATTAAAATTACATTTTGTGTGTGTGTGTGTGTGTGTGTGTGTGTGTGTGTGTGTGTGTGAGAGAGAGAGAGAGAGAGAGAGAGAGAGAGAGTTTTTCAGTTTGAAACTCACTTATCTATCCAATGTGTTTTGATTTGTCTTGCTCTTATTAAGCATCTCTCTGTGGTCCTTGCTTTTCTTTCCTGCTGTGCTGTATACTGAGCTTCCTCAGTTTCCCTGTGTTCACTCTTGACCCTCAAGTCTGTTGTCCACACAAGGCCAGGCTCTTCTTGACTCAAAATTTGTCAGTTTTCATGTTCTCTGTGGAACTGGCCTGACCTCCAGATGTAACATTCCGTGCTTAGTTTCCTATCGCTTCTGGCCCTTTCTGTTGAGTGGTTATTGTTGTAATTTTAAAAAGCAGCACGTGAGAGAAAGATGCCATGTGAAAAACCGAGGGGTTTTTATTAGGGGAAAGGGATTGTAAAAAGGGGTAATGATTGGGAATGTACTGTGTATGTTTATCTTATTGACTGTTGAATAAAATACTGTTTGCCCGATGAAATGGCAAGTTAGGCAGGACTAAGAGTCAAAGAGGATTCTGGGAAAGGTAGTAGAGAAGTGATGATCCAGCCATAGGTGGGACTAGGAGTCAAGGAGGATTCTGGGAAAGGGAGGAGAAAGCGCAGAGTCACCATGTGAGCCCGGGAAGACAGGATGCTTCTGCTGGTGTTTGATAAGTCTTATAAAATATATAGATTTATGATAATTAAGACTGAGCTAGCAGATGAGAGAAGTCCTAGTCATTGGCCAAGCAGCTTTGAACCTAATACAAGTTT